AGGGTTCAGACTGACAGGCAGTCAGCTGTTCGGTATTCGTAGTTTCTGACCAACTAAGACACCCACATTGTCTTAGGGGGGAGGGAGTCCTCCAACGGTCCAAGAGGACCTCTAACTGATTTTTCAGGTCACGTCTCTACGGACCGCGATTCTTTGTATGGCCTTGCAACTAGGCCTTCAGGCCCTTATGCCCTACAGCGGGGCCTTTGATAGCCGGTTCCGTTGGGCCACCCGGGTCCCTCTTCGGGCCTCATTAAACACTACCCTTGGTCGGCTCGAGCCCCTCATAAGCAAAGCAGGACCCTCTATTAGACGCTGTAGGCTTTTGACAGGAACAGAGGCCCCGACCATCGTATAAATCACTGGTCCCGGTTTTGTAGCTGATTGGGAAGTGAACCCTCAAGCCCATACCGATACTGAGCGGACTGTGCGGTACTGGTGGTGCCTGACCGTAATGTCGACCCATATCGACTCGGGGTGTCCCTGATCGGCGCAACGGGCTTTCTCACTGTCATTGTCTGACATCCAATTTGCGAGGCGTTTGTCATTTGAGGGTCCGTTCCCGCATGCCGGGGTCATTAAATAAGACTCCGACCAACTCTTCGTGCCCTGAAACCCCGCAACTGAGCCCTTGATCGCCGGACACAGAGGGCCCTCCAGGAACTCCGGGCTCCTCGAACACCTGTCTCTGGCTGACTTGGGGCCACTTGCCAGCACAGGGCACCCGTTAGGTGCTCTGGGGCCCTGATGGACGCTGGGGCCTGACCAATGTATATCGCTGTCTTCGACTTTGTTCCTTCTTGGGAAATGTGCCCGCAGGCCCATGCCGTCATGGAGCCGGCTTCACGTTATTGGTGGCGTCTGACCGATATATAGGCCCTTATCGACTCAGGGGCCCCTGATCAGCAGGCAATACCCTCTGGCTGGCATTGGAGTGCCTGTCCCTACCAGCCGGGCCCCAGAATTCGACATCCGGTCGACCTTTTGAGCCTCTCGGGCGCTTACATCGGACCTTTAATCGTAGACTCGGAACCTAAGCAGGGGGGAGGGGATACCTGTCCCTGCCCCCCCCCCCCCCACCGTGGAGCAATCCCTTTAAATCGTATTCCTCGCTGTTGCCAGGTGCGCGTGCGCGTGTTCTGGCAAGGCGATTAAAAGCGTAAAATCTCACACAGAACACTAAATTAACACGATTATGACAATGCCTTAGTAATAACGAAGCGAACACACTCCGTATAAATCCTCCCAATAGGAAGGTCCCCGCAATGTGCACGCCAGAGCCCCCGATCGCCACTTCACGGTCACGGTTGGGAGGGGTGACGACCAGAGGCTCACCAACATAATCGTCACGTTCAACCGACCAGATCTATCCTCAAACATCCGTGTTGGCTACGCCATCGTCAAAGTTCGAGTGTAGCTTTCCGACCTCATGCGCTGTTTCCAGTGCCAGCGTATCGGTGGCACGAAACCGCACAGCCGAAACAGACCTGTCTTGCGGCGAGTGCGCGTCGGCTGAGCATGGAGGGTTGTCGAGCCCTTAACTGCCGCTGTCCCCGGCGATCATTTACAAAAATCGACGCTCCTGAGTGATGACTTCTGAGTCGCACGTAAGATTCTATCTTACGACAACCTGAGTAAATAAATAATCGCGGATGAAAAGCACACTTCTTTAACAAGCGGTGCGCGGAGAACTGCAAGAAAAACCTGTCTGTTGACGCCTTAATGCCGTATGGCTTAAGGACAAACATAATTCAAATAGCATTAACTTTAATTTTTCGAGAGGGCCAATGCAAGGTCTCTTTTTCCCTCGACGGACCTCACGTCACTTCCGAGGGGGTAAATTTCCCCCGAGCGCGGAAATTTATTTCCGGCCTGAGGCCATGCAACGATTACGTTTAGCTGGCTTATGCTGTCCGGCGCCAAGCAGGGGAGGGAGTATTTTGAAGTGACATTACGTTAATCTGACTCATTTTTGTCCGCCATGATTACAGCAAGTAAAGCAGACCGCAGCAATACATTTATTTCATCACGACACAACCCGCATTCAGTATGTTTGAACGACAAGTGAGCCTCCCCACCGGCCCTTCCACCAGACTTCTAGGATGTCGTGAGTCCTGGGTGTGGTGTCCGTGTCAGTGATGGCCTTGGCTCAGCTGACTTGTGGGCGACCTGTGCGATGGATGGATGCCGGGCCGCTTCATAGCAGCAACGAGGAGATCAGTCCCGGGGTCCGCTGCCCGGCACGACCTTGTAGTGTCGTGTGATGTTATTGAGTCATGGAAGGTCCTAACTAAGAAAAACCAGGACTCTTAGCCAAGAGAAAACAACCCGCAATATTTGCCAAATTATGCAGGCAAAACCCTTTATTCAAAAATACATAATCCTGCACTGTGTAAAAACTTAAAGAGGAGAACGAGCAAATCAGGATAAGAATCGCCGACGAGAGAATGAAGGATGAACAGAAGCCGATAAGCGTTGGTGTAATTGATGAGCGGTTGTCTTGATCGTTGATATACCGGACACACGAGGAGGAAGTGATTTATTGTGAATGGGATGTCGCAGCGATGACACAGCGGAGGACGAGTGCGCTCGCAAAGGTGGTAGTGGGTGATTTTGGTGTGACTGATACGGAGTCTGGCAAGCAACACTCCCTTGAGGCGATTATCTTGATTAATTGTCGGCCAGTGCTGAGTTATGGATTTGGTTGGATGCAGGTGGCGATGAGCGCGTTGATCCCACTCGGACTGCAGAAAGAGACAAAAATGGAAATTGATGACTGTAAGAATATCAGAAACGGGACAAATAGCATTAACCTTGCAGCAGCTTTATTTTGTCCCGTGTGCGCCGAGATGCAGCGAACGCGCTGCGTTGTGTGGGCTGATCATTGTTGGTATTTCGGTTGGTGTGTGCATTTTACTGAGCCATAAAATATAGGTAGGTTGACGTGCCTTATGGGTGATAAGTTATGATTTCTTGAAAACAGCCTTTTAAGCTGTTTCCAGGTAGGTGGGTATTCATGAACGTCGTCACACTCAGCATAAATTCCGGTTAGTTGTTTTTGGAGGTGTGTGTTTGGATTATCTTTAAAAAAATGAGCGCGCACACCCAGACTTGTGCTTCACATGAGAGTAATTCTGTCTTAAACACCTCTTACCATCGCCTCACCTGGGCACTTACGGGTATAGTGCCAATTTTTTTGCATGCACAGCATATATTTTAAAAGTAATTTTGTGAGCCTTTAGCAAACCCTGCTATAAAACATATTATGCAGATCATGCCTGGTGACTGGCATCTTGCATAGTAGCAACAGTGTGATAAAAACTTTATTAATGCTGTAAATCTGACAGCTCTGAGTTCAGTGCAGGGCTGCCACTTATTTCAGCATGCAATGAGCCAGTGTTTCAAGGAATTGTAATGTTTTAAAGGTAAAACCAATGAAAAATAACCTTAAATTTGTTATGCATATTCATTTTAAAATTCAGCACAGATTGGTTTGCACTGAACTTGGTGCAATGAGGCATGAAGTCCAGTATGCACATGTTATGTAGACTTCCTTTGCAGTGGATGGATTTTTGTAGATTGGCCTTTAAACATTGAGCAATATCTTCACATTCTAGGCTCAGACCTAGGAAATATGATGGTACCTGTGATAAATACTAAGAACATGGACTGTACACTTTGCTACTCACTGTGTCTAACATCCATCAAACAATGACTCAATATTTGTGAAGTTGGTTCAGTTTTTGCTATAAGTCTGACATGAAATTTTGTAACTTTTTATCAAGTCAAAAAGAAAATACTTTTGGGTGTTTGAAAGCAAACTTTCCAGTGTCTCCAAACATGTTTGGTACCCAAATTTCTGACCCCTTCTGTTAGTGGTGAAATACAAAATGAGGCAGCATGTAGTAAGGAACAGAAGTTTGTTAGCATCCTGTGCATTCAATGCAATAGATACTTGGGTATTTGGTGGTGTGTGCCTGGATGGATGCAACTTTCCTCTTCTGCTGCAATGACTGATGAGAAGATCATAATCATGCCTCTGGCGTGATAGCAGGTATTATTTTTATACCCCGTCCTATACATGCTGGAGTGACTGATTCAGTGAATAAGAAATACGTATTTTCTGTGTTGCAAAGAACTAGACCTACCAAAAATGTTTTTTTTCTGAGTTAGAGAGGTGAATCAAAAATGGCCCCTAAGTTAGGTAAATGAAAGTTGTGGCATATTATTTGTGTTCATTTGGTGTCTTCAGGAAGAGTTCAAGATTGTTATAGTATGATTGTTTCTGGCATGTTGTGGCTAAGAAAGCATTATATGATTAACATCTTCTGTGCATTTGAGAACAAATAAATAAACTTTGATAGGTTTAGTTATTTACAACTGGTGGGTAAGGATACATGCATGTGAATACAAATGAAGGTGTATGAGAGCTTACACTTAAACATGCATTGCCTGATTTTGCTGTTTTTTAACATTAGATTCATTGATTTAGGGTAAGTGAATCCCTTGAAATGATTGTTTCAATGCTTTTTGCTCTTATTAACAATGCAGTTTAGGTTATCTGGTTCCATTAATTCTAAAAAATAGCATAATACCCAGTTCATACCTACCAAGCATAGCAATTTGTGCTAGTCACCAGGTGCTGGTCTGCCTGTATGTATAGTTCCCCAAAATTTCATTTTGTGGGTGCTTAAGAATACAGATAACTCAACCTAGAAGAGGTGATAATTTAAATTGATGCTTAGCAGCTACATTATGCTAGAAAATCACTAGTGGATTTTCTGTCAGTGGGCATGGAAGAAAACATCAAAATGCTATATAACATACCATCCTGCCAGGGGCCGGGAAGTTTGCAATTACGTGAGGAGAAATTAAGATGTTTCTGTCTTGGGTATGGAGCCACTTAATACTGCCTGTCACCATCTCCTCCCAGACATGTGTGTTGGCTCAGCCTCACCAGCACCACAACCCTGCTGCAGGTGCAGGATCACCACTGACTCGGACCAGTCCGACTTCAGCCTGCAGCCGACCCGCGGCCTCCGCCGCGCCGCCGCCGCCGCCACGGCCCGCGTGACGCCCGCCATGACGTCGGAGACGGACCCCCTGGTGACCGAGCCCACCGGCGACGGGCCTGGTGAGTGAGCCGCGCCATCCTGACTTCGGCGCGGGCCCACTCGCTGTGGCTGATGCTCCTGAAGGAAGGGGTGCGCGCGTTGGTGCTGGTGGGTGTAGTGCCGTGGTGATCAGGACTGTGCTGGTTTGTGTGGTCCTCTGGTGGTCAAGATGGTGCTGGTGGGTGTAGTGCTCTGGTGATCAGGGTGGTGCTGGTGGATGTGGGTGTGGTGCTCTGGTGATCTGGATGGTGCTGGTGTGTATGGTGCTCTGGTGTTCGGGATGGTGCTGGCAGGTGATGAACTGTGGTGACTGGCAGAGTCCCATTGCCCAGCTCTGCCACTGAATTTCGTACTGTCATACCTCATATGACATTTATTGGAATGGTTGTCACCACCATTGCTGCCTGATGACTTTGCTTCGCCTTATGAGGGTGCTGTGCCCCATACCGTGGGGCATAATGCCCTTCGACGCCGTTCGTCCAGGATCATAATGCTCCCAGCGTGGGCTAAGCGCTGTCTGGTTTAGCTGCGTCGTGTGTCAGCTATGCCCTCTGCAACACCGCCATATCACCTCTGACCCGTGATCTGTGGCCTCTAGGTGAGAGACCTGGCACTGGCAGCAGCTCCGGCGGCTCATCCAAGATGGTCCCGATCCCAGTGGTAAGTCTTCTGACCAATCACGTCGTAGGTACGTGCCGCAGCTTCGCAAACGGGCAGGCTCCGTTCCGATTCCGTGTTGGTGGTCCACGGTTGTGGTGGCGTCAATGTCAGCGGATACCCGACCGGGTGATCAGCCGCTGGCTTATCGCGAGCAGACCCTTGCGTTAGGATGTCATTCACCCGCGCTCGGGAGCTTATACTGGTCACTTCAGTACAGCTGCTGCGGTCAGCTCTTGCGACGCGTGCACCCCTGGAGTACTGGGCCAAAGATGCGGAAAGCCGTCGGTGGCGACCACTGGCGGAGACAGGTTGACGTCGACGACCGGACACTGATGTAGAGGTGGTTGGGATGCCGCCTCGGTTGCGAGCGCTGGCGCGACCTCTTGCTGCTGTGTGGTGGAAGGCGCGGTTGGAGGCGGTGGGGAGGGAACAAGCTGACCGTCTCAACAGCCGACGGCTGCCCCCCCCCCCCCCCGCACTCGGCTGGGCAAAAGCGCACGAATCACCGGCCGATGGTCATATCGCCTGTTCTGTTGTGCGCCGCATGTGTGCCCGGTGCGCGGTTGTCTATACGGCAGCGTATCCTGCCGGTTATGGCGGTGTGGCGTTCCGGCGGTGTGGCGGTGCGGCGGTCCGGCGGTGTGGCGGCCCGGCAGTGCAGTGGTCCGGCGGCGGCCGGGCTCGAGCTGTCGATGCGGTGGCGGTCACGGCCGGCCGAGCGAGCTCGAGGCGGGTGGGCCGGCGCCGTCCCGGGCGGAGGCGGTGCGGCGGTCCGGCGGCGGCAGGGCTCGAGCTGTCGATGCGGTGACGGTCACGGCTGGCCGAGCGAGTTCGAGGCGGGTCGGCCGGCGCCGTCCAGCGGGCGCGCCGTCCCGGGCGGGGGCGACAGGCCGGTCCAGCCGCGGCCTGGAAATCCCGCTCACCGCGTCGGGTTTAGGCCCGTACCGGTGTTGTTTTGGAAACGCTGTGACGTAAGACCGGGCTGGGGCTGGACCGCTGTCGTTTTCTCGCGCTTGCTGAGGCGGGTTCATGAATGACCACGGTTGAAGGTGTGGGAATACGCGCTCGGATGAGCGTAGACTCGGCATTCGTGTCGAAACCACATGAAGGATTGCTGTCATTAATGACGTCCTGCCGGTGTTGTACGGCAGGAGGTCTTCTGTATCACTATCATAAGCCTGCATGGTGTTGCAAAATCCGGATACTGTCCCCGTAGCTTTTCCTTATCCACATCGTTTCGAACGGGATGACCAGGCTCACTTTACATGGGTGCCATCTAGGTATAACAAATAATGTACAGCCATGTAAATATTTGAGTGTCCCAACTAAACGCAATGTGAGCAGACATGACAGTGATAGTATCCGTAACCCGGAAGTATGTTTCAATTCTTCATTCCCATTGGGTAGTTTAATTATTTTTATGCTAGGTCCCTTAGAACTGAGACCCTTGACCCCAGCCCTAAGTGTAGTAGAATTTCCGTGCCCCGTTGTGCCCCACAGGAGCGACGAAGGGATCAAGGGGGCTGAGGTGGCCGTCTTTCGGGACCGAGGTGGCCGTCTTGGCGTCCACCACATTCACCTTTTCCGTGTTTTTACTAGCCTGTGGACGCCTTGTGGCATTGCTGCACACGGGTCGCGGGTCGACTCCGGGCTAAATATTTGGTGCCACAATACAGGCAAAAGGCCATAATTTTCCTCAGACGGGAGGTGCGAAGCCAATGTTTCCCGAACCCTTGCGAGTTTGGACCAAATTCCTACGTAATCCGTTTGGCTCCTGTGCGGGGGCGGCGACACCTTGGGGGGGGGGGGGGGGAAGGGGCATGAGCGACTCGTCACTCTGAAGTGACTTCTGTCTGCTCTTTTGTTTCTTGTTTTGGGAGAGATACCTAGATGTAAGTCTTTGGCTTATGCATCAATCCTTGGTTTATGCTTATTATAACGTTTATCACATGTTGAAATCAAATAATTCAAAAGCAAACAGGTCATGCTGCCAAACGTTGAGGACTTTCCTTCACAACCTTAGAGACTCAAAATCGTCAAACGCATACACACGTTCCGGCAAAGCGGGTTAAAAGTGCAAAATTTCGCACAGAAGGCCACTTCCTTACTTCCTGTACTTCCCACGACGACGGGCACTGGGGGTTCTCCCAAGTTGCGTGCCAGTGTCCATTGTTGCATGATTTTTTTCAGTCCCCACCCTTAGCGCTATTCGCAACTTTTCAGAAAGTTGGAGACCCAGCCCCTCTCCACCTGGCCCCCCTGTTCCCTGATTCCCGCGCTTCTTTCATCAGTGCGTTTTTTTGGAACGTATGTTCTCCATATTGCTCGTAAAATTCCGTGGAAAGACAGCACCAAACACGCTATGTGTGAGCCCCTTCAGTTTGAAGCTCCTCACACTGCAAACATCAGAATGCGCGTTCGCCTCTTCGATTGTCCAACGCTTTTCTCGCACCTCTCAGCTGTTATTCTGCTGGGTTGGAACTTTGCATCTCTTGTGGCCAGCTGTGCCCCCCCCCCCCCCCGCCCCCATGTTGAGGTGACCGCCCCAGATTTTGTGCCGGGTCTTCGTGGATTTAGCCCAGATTATCGAATTTGTTCTTTGAAACCATAACAGCTGAAAACGTTGAAAAATGAACTTACCTTTCAGACAAATTACCTTTACTAGCATCTCTGAAGGTGTCGTCGGCCCTTCCCTAGTTTGATGGGATTGGCCGGTAACAGTCTAGTTGGCCGACCTCTGTTTTGGCTTTGGCCAGGCTGGACGCTGTGCTGGCTGTGGTAAGACTATCGTGCACCGGTGCGCTAGTGCGATCGCCCGCTACAAAGGGTGTTGCTCAACTATTTTTTATCAGAAATAATTTTATACGACGTGTCCCGTAGGTACTTAATACGACTCCTTCACACAATGTCATTCATATATTAGGTCAGTCTACAAATATTGGCAGGTTTTTCACAAGGTGCTTTAAGCTTGGATAGGGTTTAAGTATTCACTAGCCGGCTCTAAACTATGTGGCCGATTAGGTACCGAGTACAAGGTTGGATCATTATTTGCGACCATCACACTTCCATAACAAAGCACTGTGTGGTTTCTAGAAAGTACCGTTTCGTTTCAAATCAGTTGTGTAATTGTAAGCTTGTTTGCAAAATATTGGCTCTTTTATTGTCTGGAATATTGGAAAAGGGCTGGCTGAAACGTATCAGACAATGCACTTCCCATTCTTATGACGCTGCTCGTTTTAGTTATATGAGGTTATTTGCACACCAAATGTTCAGCACTAACTGGAAATCTTGCTTACCTTGCACGCACAGCCTTTTTCTAGTTAAATACTGGAGTCTCTTTGTACTAAACTTTGTTCTGCCCGGTTTCTAATGCCGTCGGTGAAAACAGCTCAAAAGTCGCACCTCTAACCCGTAACATCTGACAACGGCTCTCAGCAGGTTCTATCGTCGTGATGACGGCCGTTGTCATGGCGACTGGGACAACGGCAGTTGTCGCGGACTCAAGATACACTCCGGGGCAACCAAGAAAGGAAGAAGTGTAGTGCTGTTCCAAAGCGTTGCCAGGTTAATTTTAACTCCAAAATAATAAAAATTCATGACTCCAATTCATGACATGACTCCATCATGAGAAACAACGGATTCTTTTATCCAACCAAATGATCCTCAGGTTTCACCAGTATGCTTCTGAAATAAGGCAAAAAGGTCGGACACTCAATTAAGTAGGCATGTGGAAAACAAGCGTCACCTTTACCGTGGACGTTTTACCATCTGTTTTCTCGGCCATTTCCACGTGGTGGAGGACGCGGCCATAATAGTGCTGCGTGGTTCATTTCGCCTGAGACGAAGCCGTGGCCGACTGGGATAAGCCGGGTGACTTGGTACCTCATCGTCTGAAAAACGTCCGCACGCAAACAATGCGGCCGCACTGTACGCAAAACTTGACTTTCTTGATAAGACCACGCCAAGTTTCGAATACTCCATCGCGTGGAGTGATGCAATGAGCTCACGTCAATGAAGCGCCGCGCGTCGCTCGCGAACAATGAGGACCCGTCATGCTGTGACTGGCGTATTCGGCTGTGTCCTCGAGCGCCGGGCAGGCACCGTTGGCGGCCCCCGTGACGGGCGGTTCTCTTGACGCTGCGCCGCGTCGTGGGGCGCTGTGACACGACCCTGAGCGGTGAGCCCGGCTGGTCAGGCCAGCGTGGCTGTCGCCGGCCGGTGTGTGCCGCCGATGGGCGCAGACCGGCAGTGCGGGGCTTTGTGCAGGCCTGACCCAGGCGGAGCTGAGCTGAGCTGAGCTGGCGGACCTGACGGGACACGACCTGATCTGATCTGACCCGACTTGGAATGGCCTGACAGGGCCGCCTCCTCTCTTTTGGGCCGCCCATCCCAGCCTGGACCGGAGCGAACGGGGAACACTCCTCAGCGCCGGACGGCGGGCAGGTCTGGAAGGTCCGGTGCTTGTCTCAGGAGCCGGAGTGGCCTGTCTGACCCGTACCAGACCCGTGTCTGCTGTGTGCGGCGGCGCGGCTCCGTCGGCGACCCCGGCCGGCCGGCGGCCACGAACTGGCGGGAACCCGTCCGACCGCACGAGCCGTCCAGTTGCGCGGCTCCATGTCGCTCGCACGATGAGGAAGGGAGAACGCGGCGCCGGCGACGCTGAGTCGACGACACGCCGACGCGACGGCAGTGTTGCGCATGGGTTTGCGTAGGAGCGGACTGGGCGGGTAGTGGGCTAGTCCCGGAGGTCACGGACGGGGTCTGTAGCGGTGCTCCAGTCGAGATCGCGCACTACCGCCCGCTTGCCAGCCGTTCGATCAGATGCGCTGTTTGATATTCCTGTGGCGCCATCCGAGTCGATTTGCGGCGTATGAGATGTGCCGCTCGAGGTATTATCCGGAAATCTGCAGCATGTTGGAGAGCGGCGTAGCCAGATCGGCTGTGCGCAGCAGCTGTGGATCATTACCTATCGCAATCATACAGCATTCCTTCGGTCGATA